TATATATATATATATATATATATATATATATATATATGTTTTTTTTAAATAAATTTACAATCAACAATTCAAATAAGATAACAACTTCCTGTATTAATAGGAAAAATTTTCATTATATATATTTCATTAAATATTCATCTATGATTTTAGATATTCATTAAATATTAATTTTTTTTTATTAATGAGAAATTACTTAATAAATATTTAATTTTACTTATTTTAATTAATATAAATCATTTCTGAAAAACAACATATGTAAAAGTATTTCTCGAATAAAAAATAAATAAGGCATAAATAATAAATAATAAATATTTATGCGTAAATAAAAAAAATATAAAGCATAAACATCGATGCAAATACAAATAAAATCTGAATTAAAAAAGAAAAAATACAATATAAATTGTCAATTTAATCATGTAATCATTTTTTTCAGAAATCATAATAGATACATGGCCCATGATGTACTCCCCAGGTCCTATATTATGCATCGTAGGCTGCTATCTAGCATTCGTTTTGAAAGTTGGACCGAAAATGATGGAGAAGAGATCTCCTTTTCAATTGAATTTCTTGTTACTCGCTTACAACATGATCCAAGTGATGTTCAATATCTGGTTATCATTCAAAGTAATACTCATTAAAATAATAGATTTATTATAACGATTTATCATACAATGTATATTTTGCCTAGTTAGTATTCTTTTGTTAAATTTAATTCAAAAGCTAGATGAATTCCACTTTTTTGAATCGTAAAATCAAAATTTATTAAAATTCATACACACTTTCATTTACTACATAAAAATATGATATTTGAATATAATAATTTATATGCAAAAATGTAAGAATTTGGATGCCATATTTTTATAACAAATTAATTCTTTTTCAAAAAGTTTTATACAATTTAAAAATATTTCTAAAAATTTCTAATATAAAATTAATTAGAAATAAATCTTCATTACAAAATTAATTAAAAATAGATCTTCATTTATCATTAATGGATTATTCATTATTATTACTTGATAATATCTGGGACTAATTTTCAATTTTCAAGAAAAGATCTCTATATTTTTTAAATAATATAATATAATATAAAATCAAATAAAGATTTTCTGCATTAACATACATTTTCCTTAGAATTTATATTTCATACTAATTTCATAAAATCCGAGAAAAACTTTAAAATTGAAAATTTAAATTTGAAAATATTAAAATCTTTATCTGTGATATTTTTTATCAATAATATATCTATGAAAATTGATTGATAATATATGAAGCAAATCATAAAAAAGCTTTTAATAGAATATAAAAAAATTCAAAATAAATAATGATAAAGAATATATTTTGAACAATTTTTATTTTTTTATTTTATTTTTTTTTTCTTGCATTAGAAGCATTATTAAACACACAATTATTAAAAGAAATATTATTTTCATGCAAAAATCGATCGACAATACCTAACTAATTAATTTTTAAAATAATCTCAAACAACTTTTTTCTTTTGCAAAAATTTTCATTTTAGCTTTATTAATGAGATATTAAAAATAAAAAATATCAATTGGTAAAATATCGCTAAGGTTGAACAAACAAATCGAGATATATATTTAAACAAGATTAGATTTATGTAATGATTAAATTAATGTAATGTAAAAGTATTTTACATGCTAAATAATGAATAAAATTATATTTTATTTATGAATTAGCTTTATTAAATAAAATAATTAGCTAAAAAATAATTAGAAAAAAAAAATTGTTTGAAATTATCTCAGAAATCATCAGTTAAGGCTTGTCGATTGATTTTATATAATTAATGAAATAAATCATATATTCAAAAAATATATTATTATTCATAATATATTATATATTCAATAAATAAAAAATAAATAATGAATTTTTAGCCTGCAGTTAATTAATTGTAGATTTTCAGATGCATTTTCATATTGTAATAAATTGTTATAAAAATAATTAATTTTTTCAGATGACCATATTTTTATGATATATATTATAGTTTAAGAATATTACTATAATTTCATTTACTTAGATAATTACTTATCTGTCTTTAAACAGGCATTAGAACCCAGTGTGGTATCAATCTTATTATTACCTAAATGCCAAAATCCAGCATCTCTGAACTTAAATACCAAAAACACGGTAAGTTTATAAAAAAATACGAAACAATCAAAGGAATTTCATGAAATACATTTTATGCAAAATAGATATCGTCAGCGGCCTGGTGGTATTTCATCGCAAAAATAATGGATCTTCTCGATACGGTAAGTTCAACATACACAGAATTAACTAGATATGAAATATTGCTGAAAAAATTATTTTTGCTTTTAATTTCAAATGGAAAAATATATATATATTATTGTAAATTAATCAAACAATAATTATTCCTTCTTGTATAATATTTTAGATAATAAGAAATTTTACAAATGAATTTTCTGAGGGTATTAATAAATAACTTTGTTTTTTTTTTAATTGAAGTTTTATATTATTTATATTTTATATTATCTCAATAATGTTTCATTATTGAGATAACTGTTGAAATCCAATTTTTTATTATCGAAGCATCTTTTTATTTTATACGCTTAATTAATAAAATTATATCAAAGAATATTCAATATAAGATAATACAGAAAAAAAAAAATTAAAAGAATACATATTATTGAAAACATCATAAATGCAATAGAAATCATTTTCTTCGTTTTATTCTTATTTCAAAAAACTATTAATTCATTTTAATTATTTAGATAACAAATGATTAATATACTATTTCGTTTAAAAAATTAAGCTATCCTCTCTTTTAAACTTAAAAAATTTATTCTTAAAATGTTAATCTCAACATATGAAAATTCATTTGATCATTAACACATAAAAAATTCAAATTAATATCTTCCTATAAAAAATAACCTATAATATTTTATATGAAACATCTTAATGAATATAATATATCATATTATGACAAATTGAATCGTACTCACAAAACTGATATTATTTTTTCACCAACTGATAATATAGTATAATTTCTGTTTCTGTTTGTTGAAGGTATTCTTTATACTTCGAAAAAAACAAAATCAAGTGACATTCCTACATGTTTACCACCACACGATAACCTCAATATGCTCGTGGTTGTACGTCAAATTCCTGCCAGGTCAACAAGGTGCTGTGATCATTTTTTTGAATTCTTTGGTACACGTCATCATGTATACATATTATTTGATCTCCGCTTTGGGTCCTAAATACAAAAAATATCTTTGGTGGAAGAAATACATGACATGGATTCAGCTGGTAAAATTTTTGAATATTTTGTTTTTTAAAATTAATGCTCATATTAAGAATCTATTTTTCACGCTAGGTGCAATTTTTCATATTACTTGCTTACGAATTGACAATTCTTGTTTTGGGCTGCAAAGTGCCGAAAGCTTTGTCATGTTTTGTTTTAACCAACTTAGTGATCTTCATCTATTTGTTCAGTGACTTTTATCGAAAAGCTTATGCAAAGCAAAAAGTTTAATTTTTTTGAAGAATTATTGATTCGACGTCTTTGTCGATAAAATAGTAATCGAATATGCAATAGATCATTTAATGATAAAAAAGAAAAAAAGTGTTTACGAAATAATGAGAAAAAAAAAAGAAAAAAATAGAAAAAAGGAAAATAGGAATTTATTACAGTAAAAAAAAAAAATGGAACGAAGTTTGTAATAAGAATATAAATACTAAACATTGAAGAAGCAGCTGCAGTGATGATTCGAGTTTCGACTGTGTTCTAGTGAGACGATTTCCAGGTATCGAAATTGTACTCTCGATATAACGGGTTCCTCCTAAATTTAGGTCAGTGGCATCCGTTGTTTGAAGAGAGAATGCCATAAAAGGAGGTTTGTCAAGTGGCCGAAGGAAGGAATATCTACAATGAAGTTTAAATCAAACTCAAATCGCTTCTTGTCGAACAAGATGGATTAAAATTGAGAAAAAAAGTTGTATAGAAAAAAACTGTCATCTAAATCGTTATCATACACATATATCGGAGAATGGTAATTGCTTTTTTTCTTTTAGTATGTTTTATACATATTTCCAACAAATTCTCGTTGAAAGATGATTTTTTAATTATTTTTACATCTTGATAATAATTAGAAATAAATTAAAAAGTAAATTAGAAAATTTCATGTTTTTATTGAATTTATTTCGTAAAATTTTTGTTTATTTTTGCATTGGAATTGAATTTGTATTATTGAAAAAAGTTTTCATATTATTTCCAATATCATAACCTATTTTATCAAGAATATCTATCTAATAAATTAAAATAAATTTAAATATTTTTTCTTTTTTGGAAAAAATGTGTATTTATTAATTAATATTTATTACATTATTTTTAGATATAATGTTATCTAAAAATATATTAAATTATAAAATGTGATATATAATGAATATATTAATGAAAAATTATTTTGTTGATTCGGTCAAAAATTGTAATAATAATTTTTGATTTTTAAATGAACAAACGAATTCTAAGCAAATATCCGTTATCTCTGATATATAGAATAAACAGAAATGTTAATGTTAGATCATTAATTTATAGCTCGCAATTAAAACATGTAAATACACGAAATATTATTTACTCAAATATTTCGATACAGTGACAAAGAAGGGGCTCTGATTTCGATTTTAAAACAAATTTAAAATAATATTCCTTCTAAATAAGATAATTTATTTAGCAATCATTTTCAAATATGTATTATGATACTTCAAATTCAATATATATTTTATTTTTTAAGTAAAAAAAAAAAAATCATACGAATTTTATAGTTTAATTTATTTTGTTGTAAAAAATTTCATATATTGAAAAAATTGTTTATCTATTATGTACATGCTGACATTTTCAAAATGCTAAATACAAAATTTTAATTAAAAAAAATAACCTCTTCAATTTAGAAAATAATTTTTTCCTTTTATGGAAATAAATATTTAAAATTTATTTAAATGTAAATTATTTATTACAATTACAATATCATAAATTTTTATTTTATTATTAAATTTTATCAAAAATTACAAAGGAAATGTATGTATGTAATAAATCATGAATATTTTTACAATTATAAAAATTGTAAATTATATTTAAATAATATAATTTGTATAGATTATATTATTACATATAAAACGCTTTAAAAATAATGAATCATCAATGTTAGAAATTAGAGCCCTCTCATTGTGGCATGTTTTTTTTTTACCTTTTTTCTTTTTCCAATCCTTGAAAAATGATAATGCTAATGGCATTAATAGTAAATAAATACAGAATCTTAATAATCTTGCAAAAAAGATTTGATAAAATTTATCAATGAGTAGTTTCTCTTTTCTAAGTATTTCTTTCTTGAAACATAATTTTTTACAGTTAAATAGTAAATATTGTAGAATTACTTTTGTAAAGATTCATTAGAAATTGCATGACAATGAACAACCTATTTCTATGTGTCACATTTGATTTATTTTCTATTCAATTAGAAAACTTATAATAAATTCAATTTTCCATATTTAAAGAAATCTATTCAAATTATACAATTTTATGAAATGTTTAGTCAATTTCAAATGAGTTAATATAATAAATTTATTTTTTTTTAATTTATTAAACTTTAATTTTATTCATGATATATAACAAGATAGATTGAGATAAAATTAAAACATAAAGATATTTTTTTAAAAATAATAAAAATACTTTTAATTATTGTTACATTAACAGATATTTCATAAGGATATTCTATTTTCTTTGTTTTTTCTAGTTTAGAATTTTGCAGCAAAGGCTGAAGACATCCAATGATGATAACAATCAGGGATTAAGAAAAATAAGAGACAATTTAACGCAAAATCGAAAAATACGACAATTAATCGAAAATTATTGTATTTGATACAGAATTAAATTTTGAATTAAATCTTGGAAAGTGATATACCATAAACATGAACAAAAGATTAATAACTATTGATATATAATATTCGTTAAGTATATAATAACTTAAAAATGAATCTATTTCTTTTTGTTACAAGATCATCAATCGTAAGGTAATTTCAAATCTATTTCTCTTCAAGAATTGTTTTATACAAGTTAAAGAAAGTTGGCCATAATTTGGTAACTTAACTTCCTCGATTGTGAGATTATATTACTGCAATAGATGATTAATCAGAAATAATTGATATGTATTTTTAATTCTCGAATATACACTTGAAACAAGAATATTTGATTGTCTTTGTGCTATACTATGTATTATTAAATGCTTTACATAAGATATTTTATAAGATAAATATGTTATGATAGTGAAAGATTAAATAGTAAAGTTAGTAGTATTATATTATATTTAAATATTATATGTATATTAATATAAGAGTGAAAAATCATTATTTATATAATTTACAAAATTTTTAATAATTGAAAGTATGCCAATGATTTTCAATCAGTATATTTAAGATTTTTGTATATAAGTTAAAAGAAAATAATTTTGAATATTTTTTTTTTAGAAAACATCATAAATAAATAAGTCTTTTTATTTGTGATTATACAAAATTCCTTTTATATGTTATTAAATATTATTTAATTATTTATTTGCAATACAGATAGAAAAAAATATATTTTTTTTCCCTCTTTTATAAATCAATCAGAAATTTATACTTTTTTTTTATCAGAAATAATATATATTGTATAGAATAGAAATGTTTATGTATACCATGAGATAAAAATGATTGAAAAGCAATAGAAAGAATAGAAACAATAGAAATCCAGATATTATGAATATGAACAATTTTTGATTTTGCTACAATTTATTATCTAAGTAAATACAAGGATTAAAAGTGATAACGCAGCTAATGAAAATTAATTGAAACAAACGAGATTTTCAAATTGTTTATATTTTTAAATTCCAATTTACTATATACATTTGTGATTTAACATCTATAATGAATTTTCATTTAGTAATCATTAAACACTATTTTCTATATTAATCTATAAAACATTCGAATAAAATTTTCATGCACATTTATGATTTTTAATAATTATTATAATTATTTTTTTGAATTGGCAGCAAAGAAACATCGATTTTGTAAAAACAAAAGAAAATATAACAGAATACTCATATAAGAGAATATTCATATAACATGAATTTCGGAAATTATATTCTTATATTTAATTGTAATAATTACTTAATTTATATAATTAATTTCAAAAGAGTACATTATATTTAATATATTACAATATTAATAATATTACTATTACATATAATACAAAATTTTATACTTAAATTCAAATAAAAGTAAAATATTTCATAGAATATAGAATACCAAATATATATATATAAAGAATAGCATATGAATTATTTAAAATTGTTCATCTTAAAATTAAAAATTCTACATATATAACATTTCTATCATCTCATATAATTGATGTGTGAGTTCAAAAACTTGTTCGATGATAGTCTGCAAATAATCAAAGAGAAACGATCTTTCAAATAGTTCTCCATAAGCACTAAAATAAATAGAAAATGAAACAAATTCATTCCTTTGATCTCTCTTATAGAAGCAAGAAATATTTTCAAGTAACCTCAAAGTTAACAATATATACAATCCACTGACATCATAATACACCAGAAACATAGTAGAAGCATAATTCATTATCAATGAACATCAACAATTTCAAACATCTTAAATGTTTGATTATTTTGACTGAATTTTAATTAATTCGATTAATTTTTGTAAATGGCGATATTTCGGTCGATTTTTTATATTCATATTTGTTTCTTCTTTCAGGAGTTCCAGCCTAATCAACTTTCCTTCTTTCGTATTGCATGCTTCCGCTTGTCACTGTCTTTTCTATCTTGGTCTCCTTGTCTTGCATAAGCTTCGAATCTTTCTCATTGGGTTTGTACGCGTTATTGTAGAAATCGGCGAACAGGAAGTAGAAGAATACCGCATTAGGTAGAATCAAGATGAGCGACCATTTTGGATAATCGCAGTCGTAAAACAGCAATTGACAACTGTGCAGAAATGCTAGGCAGAATTGGCCCTATTTGACATAAAAAGAAAAAATTTTAATCTGGTTGTTATACAATGATTCTTGTTAATATCCAGACATGATCTAAGATTACTTTTTTTTATATATATAAAATGTATTTTTGTATATAATAATTGTTTCTAGAGGTCAAAACAAACACAGAAATTGGTATACAAAAATATATAAGCGGTTTAATTATTAGTAATGTGAGTTTGCAAATAAAGTAAGATAGAGATGGTTCTATTCTAGATATCCATTATGCGTGTAACATTTACAAATATGCTCAAAAATAATTAAAAAATTCAGATATGATGTAAGATTGATATTGACAATTAGCATTAGAGAATAAATATAATAATAAATTTCACCATTTGAAGAGTTGTAATATATTTCTTCCACCATAGGTATTTTTGGTATTGAGGTAATAAGGCAGCCAATAAATAATACGTGTACATAACTATGTGCACGAAACTGTTAATGACACCTAAAAAAAAAAAAAAACGGATGTTATTGAATCGAAGACAAGATTCTAACCAGATAATACCAGAGAACACAAACACAATAACTCGTGCATACCTATAAACGTGCCATGTCCACCCGGATAATACTTAGTGGCACCCCACGAAACCATCGGCATAACAGTGTGATGATATAAATGGAGAAACGTAATTTGATTTTCTTTTTTCCTTAGAACGAAGAATACTGTGTCTAAAAGTTCCGAAAGCTTTGCTAGAAAATAAATATACACGCCTCTAGCGACCTATAATAAATTATGAAATCATTAAAAAAAAATTATATAAAATTAAATAAATTGATTGTACGAAATTAATTTTTGGTCTATCAACGAAATCATCTTAATCTCTACTTCTATTAATATCATTGAATATAGTTACTTCACACGAGAAAAATGCGTGACAAGCCAAGCAAATGTATAAGATGAAGATAGAATAAAAAAAAAAAAAAA